TAGAATTTCATGATACCTTTTCAGATAATAAGGACATACTATGTAGATGTGCATATCGACAGGAAATTACGATTCAATTTTTTTTCTAGGAGTTACGCCCCTTTGAACTTATTTGCTTCAATATACCTCTGCAACAGTTTGTCATCGCAACTCCTCTGAACCCACACAACAGAATTTCATGAAACTTTGTAGATAATAAGGACATACTATGTAGATGTGCATATCGACAGGAAATTATGATTCAATTTTTTTTTCTTATACAATTTTTTTTTCTTACAGTTATTTTATTTCTCCAGTGACAATGTGGGGACGTGGGGTATGTGAGCGCGCTCACTAAGGTTCTTTAATTTTGATATGAACATTTCACAAGTTTTTTTTTAACAATTTTTTAACTGATTTCATTTATTTCATTCTTAATTTTTTTTCAGTAGTTGCTCAAAGGTTCAGGGTGTCACAAAATGAAATTTTAGAAATCAGGTTGAGGTGTTTCAGTAAATTTCTATTTCAAAGTAAAATTGTGCCTGATTTTCTTAGTCTGTTAACACTAATGAAATCTATACACAATCCTTGTTAGTATAATTGGCAATTACACCCATCTTTGATGAGAAATCGAGGTTCGAATCCTCGACAAGGAGTATAGATAGTGTTAACTGCTTTTTGTAGCCTGCGACTTTTGTTGCAAAAGCGAGACATGGCGATAATACATTCCGTCGTCGTCTGCGGCATCCATAAATATTCACTCAGTGGTTAAACTTTTTGAAATTTTAATAACTTTCTTAAACTATCCTGGATTTCTACCAAACTTGGACAGAAGCTTGTTTATGATCATAAGATAGTATCCAGAAGTAAATTTTGTAAAACAAAATCCTGTTTATCCGTATTTTACTTATAAATGGACTTAGTTTTTCTGACAGTTAACATTACATTCACTCTGTGGTTAAAGTTTTAAAAATTTTAATAACTTTCTTAAACTATCCTGGATTTGTACCAAACTTGGACTGAAGCTTGTTTATGATCAAAAGATAGTATCTATAAGGAAGTTTTGTAAAAAATTATTTCCTGTTTATCCGTATATTACTTATAAATGGACTTAGTTTTTCTTCCAGTTAACATTACATACAGTCTGCAGTTAAAAGTTTTTAAAACATTTATTAGATTCATAAACTATCCTGGATTTTTACCAAACTTGGACAGAAGCTTCTTACAATCAAAAGATAGTATCTAGAGGAAAAATTTTAATAATTTTTTACCCATTTTTGTTGAACCTGTGACTAACAGCAAAAATAGGCGAGACACTGGGTTCCACGGAACCCTTATGAATTTTTGATGTTATAAGCAGTATTTGACATCTGCAAAAATTTATACATGTAGAGTTTAATACAGCCTGGTTTCATATAAAGCCAGTTAAGAACTTTGAGCTTTCTATGATACAATATTTTATTGTTTACTCCATACAAACATGATTTAATACTGTATACATGGTATATATCTTTTAGTAGTATGTTTTTTTATTGTTTCTGTTTAATATTATTCAAAACTTTTAAAGACGACGATTTAGAGCTTGCCATATTTTATTTAAACAGCTGTGTGGACCTCCAGATGATTTTGGTTGTGTTTGTAGTTTGGTTGCTGTCTCATTGCAATTTGCATACACCCCACATCTGCTTTATTCATATGTGCATGTAATTTTACCTACAAAATGTATAATTTATATATACATGTGATATATACAAAGGTATTTTCTCCTTGTAATGATGTCTGTGTGTAAAACAATGTTTATTTTTCAGATCATTTTATTGGATGGACCTGTACTTCAGTGTAGTAAATGCTCATGTACAATTGGAAAATTGGGTACATGTGGCCATGTAACTGGTCTTTTGTACAGCTTGGCTCATATGAAATCATGTAATTACAAATCAATTCCATCCAATGTATTAAAGACTTCATTGCCACAATCCTGGCACATGCCCAGAGGTGAAAAAGTAAAGGGAAATACAGCAGATGATGTTATTGTGCTAGGATATGATACCAAATCACCATACAGGCAACCACGAGGATTAAGGTCTACCCTCTACAACCCAATGAAAGCACCTCTGCCTCTTGTTGCTGATTTATGTGCTGCAATATCAGACATAGATAACAGCTGTCTTTTGTTGTCAGTCACTGCACACCACAACACTACTGATATGGTTGAGACAAGATTTGGAAAATATCCAAAAGGATTCCCAATCAGCTACCAGCAAAAACTATCCAGTCATTTCATTCTGAATGTCTTAGATGCAGATTTTCCCCTTTTGCCTCTTGAAAACATGATGGAAAATGAATTGTATCTAGTTTTAGAACAGAAAAAGAGCAATAGTCTTGACTCTATATGTGCATGGAAGTATTATATTGACAGGAACTCCAACGAAAAATTAGCACATTCCCATCCCACTGATTTCTTTGAGAAAATAAAAGGTTCCGACTCAGTTTGTCAAGCACGTGCTAACTCCTTTGTGGGGTATCTGTGATGCTGCCTTCGCCTGTTCGTTTTACTGAAGCTGATCTTATCACGTGATTTGTTATCGAATGTCTTATCTACCTACCAATGTAAATAAACACGGAAACTCCCGTGGTTATTTGTGGATCGCCACATGAATGATGACACCTGTTCCCGTTCAATTAATGAAGACGAAAGCTGAAAAGATCTAAAAAATCGGTCCATATTTAACAGAATGACATAAGAAAATTAATTGCTTTCGGAAAGAAGTCAAGATTATTTTTCGTTTTGTTTAATATGTTTTAATCATTGGAACTTGGAAATCGGGAAAAATCCGGTTATAAAAATTACATGTACCTGAAGTAGGGTGTTTGCATACAATAATGTGATGCGCGTGTAGTGTGGAGGATGGCGAAGGATGACTCAAATTTCAAGTTAAAGGTTGTGAATTTTTATCGAATGTTACAAAAATATTTATAGTTTTCTCTATCGTCTCAATTAATGTAGAAGAATGTATTTTAATATAACAAATCTATGGCTTCCATGAATTATTTCTTAAATCAAACGTATTTATCGAATATGTTTTAAAAACTAATAGAGGTTAATAATTACACGCACGTCATGTGCAAGAATATGTCACATTTCCAAGCGAGATAACCCAATCTGTTTATATTGGACAGTAGATAATTAACGATAACTCTTTTAACTCCTTCCAATAGATGTCGTTGCATTTACTAATCTTGTTAAATACAACAGAGACATGTCTCTGATAAAAATTAATTAGCGTCTTCACGGGAGTTATAAATTACGATACTTGAGTTAGTGGTCTTTAAAAGGACTATGATATAGAGATCAAAACCGCGTCGAGATTATAAATCAATGTACATGTACGAAAGGGAAATTATTTTGAAAAATTAGGGAAAAAATCCATAATTTTTGTTAATTGATCTTGAATGACATTTTTTAACAAACAGTCATAAAACGTATCTTATGAGTTTTGATGTTCATATATCTTAAAAAATACCATCTAGGAGGTTATATGACATCCTTGTTACCAAGAAATTTAATATTTTCATTTGTCCTTATGCAACAGAGCTGACGACGAAATTGGTACCGAACCGTAGCTTATTGCAGTTTGATCACAATTAGTAATGAAATTATATGGCATAATATCAGCTGTGTTTTTTATAAACATATTAACACCAGCTAACACAAGTTTGTCCAGCTTTCTAACAATAGGCTATATATATATTCATTTCAGTACAATCATTGCCTTGGACAAATAAGTTTGCTTTAAAACGATGCTATATATGTCTTTGAAGAAATAACTTACAAGCTAGGTGTTTTTCATTTTTTAAATGTTTTATGTAAAACGCCTAAACATGTCTCAAATATCTTTAGTTAGGTAAGGCGTAAGCAGACAAAAAGGTTCAATAAATCAAATTTAGAAAATTGGTGAAAATTAAAGATATAAATTCTAAGACTAAATAATTGAAGAATAAGTCATTCAACAGTTAAAATATATTTTTATTGATATTGATAAGCAGAGCTCTCTCTCTGATTGATAAGTGAAAAGATTTATCAATTGTAGTAACTAAAGACATCATCATGAAGCGAGTTAGGTCGCAAGTGCTTTTATAGTGGCTCTCCCTTTTTATGTGTGTTTACCGGGAGTAATTCTTATTTTGAAGTTTTCTTTCATATTTCAACTTATTTTCACTTATCTAAAATTTTCTAACTGCTATCAGTGCGATTTAATACTAACAGTATTTATATCTGATGTCCCTCTGTCCTTATTTTCAACAGTGCAAGAAAGGTAGAAAATTTGCCTGAATTAAGTCACGGATAAAAATTCACAGGACAATAAGGGACGACATCAAAAGTTCAATGTAGGATAAAGAAACTTAATTCACATAGTTTTTTTCACTGACCCCCACCCCCTCTTAACTTAATTTGGGAAAAATTGATTGACCAATACAGATATATGTAAAATCGATGTCAAATAAACAAAACTTGCAGCAATTTTTACCCCCCACCCCCAAACTATTTGAATTAAGTTTTTTTATCCTACATTGATCCTTTGATGTCGTCTCTAAATCAAAGCTCATTTATGCGATTCATAGTTTGTCTTTGATAAATAAATCGCCTTTAAAAAAAAGCAATTTACATTGGTCATGAACAATTGATAATAAAAACTTGTGAAACATTTTTCTTGTTTGAGATTTTTTTCCACGCTGCAAGAAAGATCGAAAATTTGAATTCAAAAAAATCAGGGACACAAATTCGTCGGACAAAACTAAATTAATATATATAAGTTAGTTTTTAAAGGCAGTGCTTTAATGCCTTTCTAGTTGCCGGGTTAATCCTTCCTTCCGCGATATCCAACTTATCTACGTGGGGGGTCATTAGACTCCAAGTAGATCCGGAAATGTTGAATTCTCTCCTCTTCTTATTGCGATATAAAATGTTTTTCATTTCATTTCATTTACATTGGGAAATAGAGAAACGATCATTGTGTTTTGTTAGTTTTAAAAACTTTTGATATATTAGTATTTTGCATTATAAGCAGTCAACCGATTGACAAACTAGAATTATTTGAATTCCGTGTGGAAAGAGCTCGGGTTAATTTCGAGTGTTATCTGCAATCTAGATGTTTATAAATCATTTCAGTCGTTGATATAATAATTAAAGGTCGACTGAACATGAATTATATTATACAATTTAAAGCGCATTTCTGTTTATGCACGTGAACCCGTCTAACGTTATTTTCGCAGTTATATAAAGTAGCAAATTATCGTTCCTGAATAGGTGGCGCCGTGGTAGCGGATTCTGTTCCTCTTCTTCCGGTTTCTGCACTGTGCAACTATTTCAGTTATATTTTTAATTAACGATGCCAAGTACTTGTTGTTGTGTACCTGGATGTCATTTAAGAGGAGGACATGCATTTCCAAATGACTTAAAAAGAAGGAAAAGTTGGATCAACGCCATGGCCCATACGCAGATTGGACGAGAACACGATGATATCGTGGAGTCCATCTCAATCAGCTGTTGTTTGCAAGGCACGTTTTACTGAAAAAGACTACGTGCTGGAAACTATTCATGGTAAAACTCTATTTTCTTTGTGAAATATATAGTTATATATGTAATCTCCATGCGAATAAACCAAAGTCTGTTTACAACCGCAATTATCGTTTTAGAATAAAAGGGGGTGGGTAATTCAAGACGTCATAATTTTTTGGATTACGATTCAATGTGATCTGTTCGAGATTTTTTGGTGATTGCTACAATTATAATGATTTCTTACAAGAGGTATATCATACTGAGAATTATTTTAGCAGTAATTATGCTAATGTAGTAATGACAGGAATGCATAAGCTATGCCTCATAGACTTTCTTGAAAAATATCAATGACAATGTTAACAGGAACAAAACAATGACATGCTCTCATCTATATTATAGTTATTTAGGTACAAACAATGTACGTTTGTTGCATAAGTCTCTCATTGTTTGTCCTTTGGATTTACATAACATACATTGAATCAGGCAAACATAGTTTTATCCAGATTGTAATGAATAAATATTTCGCCAGGTAGTACAAAGTATACATTGCTAATGGAAGTTCATTTAATTATAAAAAATCTAATGTTTTATAACCTTTTTCAGGGCGCAAACCCACCATACAGAGACTTAAGTCTACTGCAATTCCCAGCCTATTTTCATGGACCAAGCAAGAGACTGAATCGTCCGCAAAAAGAAAAATCAGGGCAGTTTCCTGTGAAAACAAAAGAACTAAACTTGATGAATATTGTAGTAGAAATCTAGAGGAAAGTTTTGATTGTAAAGTTGGTTTTCCTGAAGAAGTCATTCATACTGCAGAAAGGATTTATGACTGTCCACCACCAACTGCCGAGCTAATGTTGAGCTTCACAGATGGAATTACGCAAACACCATCAATGCCTATGTTTTCAGCAGAGAATTTTGAAATGAAGACATGTGACACAGCCATGCATTTTTATACCGGTTTAGAGTTGTATACTAAATTTTTATTTGTTTTGACCACACTTGGTCCAGCAGCACATTGTTTGAGATACATATATTTTCAAATTGATAGGGTGTCAGTTGAAAATCAGTTTTTTTATGACTTTGATGAAATTGAGGCATCATACAACCAACTTTGAACTGTCTAGATTCTAGATTGAATCTAGTGTTAAGAATATTGTGTATACATGGATTGTTTTTATGTCTAAACAGTGGTGTGAGGCTAACACTTGGCCATCTAGTGGTTTAGTCAGGTATTTTTCACCATCCAACTTCAAATAAAAGTTTCCTACGACTTGGATTATTATTGACAGCACAGAATATCCCGTGATAAAACCTAAAGCTCCTAGAGCTCAGGCAACCTTTTCATCAAATAAAAACAGAAACACTGAAAATTCTTGAATGTTCGACACCTGGTGGTTTAGTCAACTATGTCTCTATGTCACATAGAGCGAATTATTGGACTTGGCAAAACATACAAAATTCTAATAAATCCTATGAATGGAACTGAAACAAAACTTTCATCTGAAATAACATTTAAATGTAGTTGTTTTATGTTGTGTAATTTTAGAACTTGTATTGTGCCAAAGGATGCATAAATAAAAGTGACGCAATGAATTTTGTTCTGATATATATATATTTACAATTACATGCACATGTAAATTGTAATGCATATAAAAATAAGGAGATGTGGTATGATATTCAGTGAGTTTATCAAACTAAAGTGCATAAGAAATGGGTTTAAGCAGTTACAGATGTTACTGTCACCGTACAATCTCCAACAATGAGAAAAACTTGTACCCTGTAAAAAATTTCAGAGATCTTACAACTAAGTTTTGTTGTCTCACCTTGACTTTGGTGAATTTTTTATATCTGTTGATGTAAATATAAAAAAGAAGATGTGGTATGATTGCCAATGAGACAACTCTCCACACATGCACAAGAGACCAAATGACACAGAAATTAACAGCTATAGGTCACAGTACGGCTTTCAACAATGAGCAAAGCCAATACCGCACAGTCAGCTATAAAAGGCCCAGAAATGACAATGTAAACATGGTAAAACAATTCAAACAAGAAAACTAACGGCCTATTTTATGTAAAAAAATTTGTAAGGGTTCCGCGGAACCCAGTGTCTCGCCTACTTTTTCTGTTAATTGCAGGCTCAACAAAAATGAGGAAGTAAATCAATAAAAATATTCCTCTTGATACTATCTTTTGATTGTAAGAAGCTTCTGTCCAAGTTTGGTAAAAATCCAGGATAGTTTATGAATCTAATAAATGTTTAAAAATTTTAACTGCAGACTGAATGTAATGTTAACTGGAAGAAAAAAAAAATTTCCTTCTAGATACTAGCATTTGACCATAAACAAGCTTCTGTCCAAGTTTGGTACAAATCCAAAATAGTATAAGAAAGTTATTAAAATTTTAAAAACTTTAACCACAGAGTGAATGTGTTGTTTCCTGGCAGAAAATCTAAGTCCATTTAAAAGTAAAATACTGAAAAAATGGTTTTATTTTTTTACAAAATTTCCTTCTAGATACTAGCTTTTGATCATAATCAAGCTTCTGTCCAAGTTTGGTACAAATCCAAAATAGTATAAGAAAGTTATTAAAATTTTAAAAACTTTAACCACAGAGTGAATGTGTTGTTTCCTGGCAGAAAATCTAAGTCCATTTAAAAGTAAAATAAGGAAAAAATGGATTTTTTTTTTTACAAAATTTACCTCTGGATACTATCTTATGATCATAAACAAGCTTCTGTCCAAGTTTGGTAGAAACCCAGGATAGTTTAAGAAAGTTATTAAAATTTTAAAAACTTTAACCACAGAGTGAATGTAATATTTCCCGGCAGAAAAACTAAGTCCATTTATAAGTAAAATACGGAAAAAATGGAATTTTATTTTTACAAAATTTACTTCTGGATACTATCTTATGATCATAAACAAGCTTCTGTCCAAGTTTGGTAGAAATCCAGGATAGTTTAAGAAAGTTATTAAAATTTCAAAAACTTTAACCACAGAGTGAATATTTGTGGACGCCGCCGACGACGACGCCGATGGAATGTAGGATCGCTATGTCTCGCTTTTTCGACTAAAGTCGAAGGCTCGACAAAAATGAACAAATATAACAAATATGCAACACATAAACAAACGACAACCACTGAATTACACTTTTATAAGCTCCTGACTTGGGACAGGCACATACATGTACATACAGAATGTGGCGGGCTTAAACATGTTAGCGGGATCCCAACCCTCCCCCTAACCTGGGACAGTGGTGTACATTTGTAACAGTACAATATAAGAAAGAACTATAAAAATCAGTTGAAAGAGGCTAAACTCATCAGATGGATAAATACAAATACAAGTGGACGTGGTCGGGTAGTTGTACATCCAAACAACAAAAAGACACTAAGTACAAATCTGAGAGTACTCGCAGTTACTGACAGCTAGTTCAAAGCCACTAACAACTGATAAAAAAATCTTGCATCTAAGACTAAATTATCAATCTGTAAGCTCCCTTTAGAATTTTATAAATTTTAGATTTTACATTTCTGAGTTATGGGGTTTTATTCATTAAAAAAGGGGGGATTTTCCAGTTTTTGGACAACAACTCAAAAATGCTTTAAGCAGTTCACATGAAACTTTGGTGAATTATTTATAGCTATTGATGTAATCTCCCTATTGATTTTCATAAATTTCAAATATGACATTGAGAAGAAATTGAACTTTATTTGTTTATAGTCTGGCAACAGATTTATTAAGTATTGCACAACAGCACAGTGTATTGCACAACAGCAAGAAATCTTTAATTGAATATAAATTCAATTCATATAACCGATTTCAAGTTCATTGACTACATTTATTCAGAAACTATAATATGTCAAATATTTAATTACAATCCAAATTCAGACCTGTATCAAGCTTGAATATTGTGTCCATTTTTGCCCCAGCTGTTCAGGGTAGTACCTCTGCGGGTGTATCCAGCTGTGCTCAGCGAATCAGTTTATTTCTTAATTAAGAACTCCTTTTTATGCGACTGCAAAAAAATTTTGTGGTCATATATTGGTATGACGTTGGCGTCATCGTCGTCCGGCGTCGTCATCCGAAGATACATTAGTTTTCGCACTCTAACTTTAGTTTAAGTGAATGGATCTCAATGAAATTTTAAAATAAGGTTCAATACCACAAAAGGAAAGTGGGGATTGATTTTGGGGGTTATGGTACCAACAGTTAAGGAATTAGGGGCCAAAAATAAGCATTTTTGTAACTTCCAGACATAACTTGTGTGTAAGTGTATGGATCTCACAAGGTTCCATATCACAAAGGGAATGCTGGGATTGATTTTTGGGGGTAATTGCCTCCAAATTTTAGGAATTAGGGGCAAAAAACAAGCATTTTTCTAGTTTCATGACAATAACGAGTGTGCAAGTCTATGGATCTCTCTGACATTGTATCACAAGGTTCCATATCACAAAGGGAATGCTGGGATTGAATTTGGGGGTAATTGCCTCCAAATTTTAGGAATTAGGGGCCAAAAAGGGGCAAAAAACAAGCATTTTTCTAGTTTCATGGCAATAACTTGTGTGTAAGTGTATGGATCTTTATGAAATTGTACTACAAGGTTCCATATCACAAAGGGAAAGCTGGAATTGAGTTTGGGGGTAATTGCCCAAAAAGTTTAGGAATAAGGGGCCAAAAATAAGCATTTTTCTAGTTTCCAGACAATAACTTGTGTTCAAGTGTATGGATTTCTCTGAAATTGTACTGCAAGGTACCATACCACAAAGGGAAGGCTGGGATTGATTTTGGGGGTAATTGCCTACAAATTTTAGGAATTAGGGGCCAAAAAGGGGCAAAAAACAAGCATTTTTCTAGTTTCATGACAATAACTTGTGTGTAAGTCTATGGATCTCTCTGACATTGTATCACATGGTTCCATATCACAAAGGGAATGCTGGGATTGATTTTGGGGGTAATTGCCTCCAAATTTTAGGAAAAAGGGGCAAAAAACAAGCATTTTTCTAGTTTCATGGCAATAACTTGTGTGTAAGTGTATGGATCTTTATGAAATTGTACTACAAGGTTCCATATCACAAAGGGAAAGCTGGAATTGAGTTTGGGGGTAATTGCCCAAAAAGTTTAGGAATAAGGGGCCAAAAATAAGAATTTTTCTAGTTTCCAGACAATAACTTGTGTTCAAGTGTATGGATTTCTCTTAAATTGTACTGCAAGGTACCATACCACAAAGGGAAGGCTGGGATTGATTTTGGGGGTAATTGCCTACAAATTTTAGGAATTAGGGGCTAAAAAGGGGCAAAAAACATGCATTTTTCTAGTTTCATGACAATAACTTGTGTGTAAGTCTATGGATCTCTCTGACATTGTATCACATGGTTCCATATCACAAAGGGAATGCTGGGATTGATTTTGGGGGTAATTGCCTCCAAATTTTAGGAAAAAGGGGCAAAAAACAAGCATTTTTCTAGTTTCATGGCAATAACTTGTGTGTAAGTGTATGGATCTTTATGAAATTGTACTACAAGGTACCATATCACAAAGGGAAAGCTGGGTTTGAGTTTGGGGGTAATTGCCCTAAACGTTTAGGAATTTGGGACCAAAAAGGGGCCAAAAAACAAGCATTTTTCTAGTTTCCAGACAATAACATGTGTTCAAGTGTATGGATCTCTCTGAAATTGTACTGCAAGGTACCATACCACAAAGGGAAGGCTGGGATTGAGTTTTGGGGTGATGAATCATAAGGGGGTTCAAAAAATTTGGGGGGGGGATTCTTTTTCCTTTTTTTTCTTTAAAATTTTCCATTTTAAATTGGTTATTTCTGATTTATATATAAAAGCAAATAATAATGATATGGTTTGAATAGGTAAATTAAATTTTTTTAAGTATCTTAGACCACTTTCATTCTGTGTCAGAAACCTATGCTGTGTCAAATATTTAATTACAATCCAAATTCAGTGCTGAATCAAGCTTGAATGTTGTGTTCATACTTGCCCCAACTGTTCAGGGTTCGACCTCTGCGGTCGTATCAAGCTGCGCCCCAGCGGAGCATTTTATTTCATTCATAAATTACTTTATGCTTGGAAATATAATTTTGCTTGGAGTTGAAAGAGTTGACATGTTGCAATGTACATTTACTCTACATAGTTCTATGGTACCAAATCAAAAGTTTATATAAAGAAAGAAGTCAAAGGTTTCCCATCATAGTTTAGTTACATACATTTTTTTTTGTACCTGAGGTCGTTGAATATAGATCATTATATAAATAAGGAGATGTGTTATGATTGCCAATGAAAAAACTAAGGATTTTCTTATCCAAGGATTAGATTTCCTAAGCCCTATTTGGCACAACTTTTTGGAATTTTGGGTCCTCAATGCTCTTCAACTTTGTACTTGTTTGGCTTTGTTACTATTTTGATCTGAACGTCACTGATGAGTCTTATGTAGACGAAACACACGTCTGGCGTATTAAATTATAATCCTGGTACCTTTGATAACTAATTTGACTTTAAACATAGATAAAAAAGGTACAAACTGGACATAATGCACTAGTTCATAAACAAGTGAGAACAATCGCCTTCATATAGTGCTCAGAATATGACATTCATAAAACTTATTCAATATCATTAGAGAAATCTAAATCTTAAATACTGAAAGCCACCTCTGATAAGTACACTGTACTATGCAAGATAATGATATAACTGGACTTAAAATACACACAACCTGTAATTAACTGCCTTTACAGCGCTTTCGTGCTTTGATTATGAGTCGTGGCATATGCACTAGATAAAAGGTGTTTTGAAATACAAGGAAACCCCAACATATCAACGAAGAAGGGCTTCTTGTGCTGTGCATAAGATTAAAACTTGTCACCAGGTCTTCAGCAATCGGCTTTTTAATATTCATTTACAATGACAACACATTCATCATTATAACAGAAACATTCAATGTGTTGTAAGCGTTACATTTTTTTTCACACAAGAACATTTTGAACAGTGTATTTCTAAA